GTAAACCTTTAGAGGTTTTTCTTCATCCAGTCTGACTTTACTGTAAATCTTTATGTTTTTCTGGCCACGTGTCTTATTTGTAAAACCGTGGCTGTTTTAAACTGCCAGTTTTTCCTTCAAGATGGCGGGCATAAGCATGACTCCAGCTTACCGCCTCAGTCCATGCTGACCTCCAGCAAAAGCTGCCACTTCCAGCTGTATGTACACACCTTTCAATCGTTAGCAGAGTCTCTTAAAAGAACCTTGTTGGTTTTTTTTTTCTTTTTCTTTTTATGCCGAGTCAGGAAGACTCCAGTAAGCGAGCCGCGTGAATCTCGGCTTGTGGCTAGCAAAACAGAGCACACCTGAGAAAAATGCTGCTACCAACATCTGTGCTTCTCTCCATTCTTCTGTTTCTAAAATTCCTTTAAAGCTTTTGTTATTTTGCGTGGAAATTCATGATCCCACTCCTGATCACCATTTTGTTAAGAGAAGCTTTTTCCTTGAGAAGGAGCCATTCCGCCCGCCTGGTTCCAGATCCCGCCAGCCTGGTTCCCAGAGCCACATCAGTCCCAAATAAACACACAGGAGGCTATATTAGTTATGAAGCTGTTGGCCTTGCTTGTTTCTTACTAGCTAGCTCTGACTTAAGTAATTGCCCCATAATTGTTAATCTAAGTATGTTTCTTACCGGAGAATAGTTCCAGGCTTCCTACCCTCATGGCGTTACATGTTGACTCTCTTGTGTTTCTCCTACCCAGAATCCTCCTGGACTCCTAGCCCCACCTATCTAGATTCCTATTGGCCAGCAGTAATTTATTGACATATACACAGGACTTCCCCAACACCCATGTAACCTCCTGAGGCCTGACTTGAGTTTGGCAACCTGTCTCTGTCACCTCCACGTGGGGGTGACTCAGCCAGACCTGATATAAGACTGCCCCCCCCAGCTACCTGCCAGTTTGGTGGAATATTATTGGCCCTTATTCCCATCCCCTACATCAGCCCTATATAAATTCCTGCGTGTTGGAATAAAGCGAGATCCTGCTTCGACAGACTCCTGTCTAAGTGTGTATTTTCTCCCTGGTAACTAATGTGGGGAGGGGAGGGTCTGAGTCATCGGCACTCACCATCCTGCTCAGCCCTGGGAAGAGACCGGCTGGACCCGCCCTTCCCCCACTCTACCTGCCAGGAGGACCCGGCAATGCACCTTCCAGAGCCTCTTTGACTTTCCAGGCCCAGGTTTCTGGGCCTTCAACTATTGCGTAACCATAAATATTACGGAACGGGTTCTCCTGTCCTAACCCCCATCCTCCCCCTCTGGAAATCTCTGGAAAATACAATAAGGAGCTGAGTATTAAGCAACCCACACCCTTCCTCCCACTGGATGGTCAAACGCCATTGCTGTTTTACTTTATATGCTTGGTTTTCCCCCTTTAAACACATTAAAAGAAATGACAAAGAGATCATGTGACACATAGCATTCCTATAAGGAGATCCATCTGAGCTGGGCTTGAAGGAACAAACCCACAATCCCCGCACCAAGGAGACTGCTTTGCTGAGCACCTGTGCGCCTCTTAATGGCCCTAGTTAGGCTTTTCCAGCTGGGTGACTGTGCCCATAACGCCAGCCAACACTCTCTTTTTCTTTTCAGTTCTTCGCTTTTGACATTCTCGATCTCTGCATCTTTTTTCTTGGTCTTATTTAGAGGTCTGTCTGTATTTTTCTTGTGTCTCACACAGCTTCTTAAAGACGACTATTTTCAGTGTCTTAGGTAGGTCAATTCGTAGATCTCCATTTCTTTAGTATTGGTTGTTAGACGTCTTTTTTTTTCTGTCTTTGGTTGTGATCCTTCTGGTTCCTGTGTCTTTAATGGACCTGTTCGTTTCAATAACAGGCTCCTTTGAGGATCTTGTGGGTTCCCTTCACTAGGGGAAGGCCTTCACCTACCAGCCTGGCTGAAGATGGTGGAGCCTCTTAGGTCTTGTCTGTGGACTGTATATAGGTTCCTAATTAGAAATATTTCCCTCCTTCCTCCCTCCTCCATCCCTCCCTCCCTCCCTCCTCCCTCCTCCCTCCCTCCCTCCTCCTCCCTTCCTCTTCCTCCCTCCCTCCTCCTCCTCCCTCCCTCCCTCCCTCCCTCCCTCCCTCCCTCCCTCCCTCCCTCCCTTCCTCTTCCATCCCTCCCGATGGATCCACTGATTTACATCCTTTGGTCTCTGGCTGCTGCATCACAGGCCAGAATGTCAACACATTCTCTATTCTTCTACCTCCTTGGAGAGTAATGTTGTGTCCCATGCCTTCTTCCAATTTTGCTATATCATGCAAGTGGCAGAAGGTACCTCTGTCTTTTGTGCCTGGACCCAGGCGTGAAAAGGAAGTCTGTTTTTAAAAAAAAATGAACAAAAAGATGGGGAAGGCGGGCTATAAAGATGGCTCGGCGATTAAGAAGCACTTGCTACTCTTGCAGAGGACCTGAGTTTGATTCCCAGCACCCACATGGAAGTTCACAACCATTGCCTAGAATGCTGGTTCTAAGGGCCTCCTTGGACATTGTATGCACATGATACGCATACATATATACACATAGGCAAATGCTCATACACACAAAAATAAAAATAAATCTTCCAAGATTTTGAAATTCTAATAGGTACCTGCCTGTTCTCTCGTTGGTGTAAGGCCAAGATCACTGGGGCGTTGAATCCTTACATGTTAGTAGTGCACTCTGCTCTTCCCCCTCCCCGCTGAGGGAGAAGCGGAGGCACCTTATCTCAGACCTGTGCCAGCTTCACAGAGCATGCGCCCCTCTGCACTTGCTTAACTGTGCATAGCATCTCCGTTATGCTGGCCGCATCAGTGTGAGCATCAATCTTAGTATGTCCACTGTGTTCCATGTGAACCTAGACGGAAACCCCCCTGTGGCTGCACAAGAGGCAGGGGACACTGAGGCATGCTCCGTCCTATCTTTCTTCTCTAAGGAAGACACCCACTAAGTGTGCTGGCGTGGGAGAGGGGCTGATACAGCTGCTTGTTTCAATGTGGCTGATCTTAGAGCAGACATTATGGAGCATTGCAGCTCCTCAGATGGATTCTGGGCCATATATATATATATATATATATATGAATCTGAATGCTATTGAACACGTTTGTTGACAAACCAAGGACGTGGATGTTCTGTTCCACCACTGGGCCAACATCCCTCCCTTAAAGCAGCACTGAATCACACTTTATTCAGGATGCAGCATATTGATTGGCATTAGAAGGCTCGGTGTGAACATAAGACAATGCAAAAATGTCTTGTTAATAATTTCATGTGGCATTTAACGATGAGAATGCTTTGACTTAAGTAAAATATGACCTTTAAATTGGTTACATTTTATTTTTACTTTTTAAGAATGTGCTTATTAGGAGACAAAGTGAGTATGTGACCATATTTTAGATCTGCTGACAGTTCTGGCACAAAGGGTCCTAAGGCATCATCACAAGCCTCGCAGCTAACTGAAACCACTTCTGGGTGACAGATAAGCACCCTCTCTTCTGGCCTCCTCTGATGTATTTGGGGAAGGGGTGGGGGGGACTAAAAGTCTTATAACAAAAGCAAATGATGTTTAGGTTCCACTTTTGTTTCTGTTTCGACCTAGATTTTTGCATTTAATATTCTTGTCAGTGTGTTTTTATGAAATGTGTGAGCACTGAATCTTATTTCACAATGGGTGAGGGTGGGGCAGAGGGAAAGAGTCAACAAAACGAAACAAACGAGACACCAAGTTCTGTTTTGTGAGGGTGTGGCTGGGGCTGAGCTGACACCTACTGCTTGGACAGATACCAGCAGAGCATTCAGGCAGAGGGCAGAGGGCAGAGGGCAGAGGGCAGAGGGCAGCCTCTGAAAGAGCTCAAGTAATTGGAGGAGGAGATAAGGTAAAGCCAGGAGACAGAATACTTCTTCCAAGACAGAAGTTGCCAACATCAACTGTTGACAGCAGAGGAGCACTCCCAGAGTCAAAGCGGGAGGACAGGCTGGGGTGTTTGTAGGCAGAGGGAGGATGGAGAGGACAGGCTGGGGTGTAGACAGAGGGGGATGGAGAGGACAGGCTGGGGTGTTTGTAGACAGAGGAGGATGGAGAGGACAGGCTGGGGTGTTTGTAGACAGAGGAGGATGGAGAGGACAGGCTGGGGTGTAGACAGAGTAGATTCCCAGAGTCCACAGCATTCTTGCGGAGAGGGGTAGTTTCACAGCACATGTCTCATCGAGAACATTCCAGATGCTCAGTTGTTGACAAATGTGTTTGCTCCCCTGGCCCTAGTTTTCAAAGTTAAATCAACATGGTTCTCTTAAAATCGATCAGTCATGTTTGCTTTTTGGCTCCTCATATATACCACAGAGGAATCGAGCTTTTTTCATTTATTTCTCTCCCCGCTGGCCCGGAATATCTCTCTCTATTGCCAGCAACCTCCGCCCCATCCCCTTACAAGTTATGAACAAATAGCAGGCATGGTGGTCAGAGGATGTGAATTTGGAAACAGTGCTATACAGGATGTCAATCCCACAATTCTTTAAAAAATATATATATATATATGGAAAAGTCCTTTTGGAGCAATGCACATATCTGCTTTGCATATGTGCTCCTATAGAATCCAGCATGTGAAAAACAGCGTTGGCACGCTGGTGACTGTTCATGCCGTGGAGTCCCTGCCTTTAGGATAGGCAAAGAGTGGTTCTCTGCAGCTGCAGCGGCCAGTAACCCGACGGAACTATCAGTCTCCTGCAGCATTTGAGCCTCATGAAAAGAGCGGAGAGAAACACACACACACACACACACACACACACACACACACACACACACACACAAGCTTCTTGGCATGCTGCAGCCAGGCAGGCTGCAATAGATTAGCTCTACCCTTAACAATGAGTTTCACTAGGCCGATGAGAGACATTATGGAAACATATCAAGGGGAAACAGCGCACAGCCCCAGCTGGCCAGGGCGGCATCGGGTAATCACTGTAATGAACACACTGAAGAGGCACCAAGCCCCACAGGGCACTTTATTATAAGGCTTTGATGTAGGGTATCGTGGAGAATCTGGGTGGTTCCTGCCGTGGGATACAGAGACTTGCTCTTCTCAGTCCCAACTTCAAATTTAGGACCAAATCCTTTCTGTCTAAAGTTAGCTGCCATTTGGAGACCATTTAGATGGCTTGGCAAGGCACGTTGGTCATCTCACCCCAGCTACCAAGAAAACTGACCTTATATGTGGGGCAACTTCCAAAAGGCCCAAACACCACAAATACCCAAGGTCACGCATAGACGTAGGATTCTGCTACAAGGACCTGAAGGGCGCTCCGGTTATCAATGCCAGCGGAGTGATGAGAAACGCCTTCGGTTCTCCAGTGACTTTCAGGGGGTGAGGCTTCAAAGAAGTCGGGGGGGGGGAGGGAGAAGAGGCAACAAAAGCTAAAAGTCTTCCAAGACAGTTAAGTCTTCCAAACAGGCTTAGGAAGGGTCCACAATGGGGGCTTCGGAACGGCTCAATCAGTCACTTAGCGGTGCTAACAAGAAGAGCTGAGTTCGGATCAAGCACACACATAAGAAGCTATGCATGGTGACAAATACCTATCGTCCCAGCACTGGGGAGGCAGAGACAGAAGGGTCCCTGGAGCACCCCTGCCAGCCCACATGCCTCGTTGGTGAGCTCCCTGTTTGCTGAGAGAACCTGCCTCCAAAAGAGTGAGGTGCGGTGGTTAAGGAAGCCTCCTGGTAATGAGCTCTGGCATCCAAAGACACATGCACACACAAGTGCAGGTGCCAAAACATCATGAACATGTGAACATGTAACACGCACGCGCGCGCGCGTGTGCACACACACACACACACACACAGAGACAGAGAGAGAGACAGAGAGAGAGAGAGAGAGAGAGAGAGAGAGAGAGAGAGAGAGAGAGAGAGAGAGAGAGAGACAGAGTCCTGCTGGGGACGGCATGTGAAGCAGATGATTGCATTGTGTCTACAGTTGTGAAGCACAGAGAGGTGAGGGCCCCCTTTCCAGGGCCATATCCTCCCTCCTCAGTTAAGGCTCTCTGGGAATGCCCTCCTCACATGCACACCCAGATGTGTGTTGCCTACAGCTCCCAAGGCCGTGAGGTTGACGGTCATTATTAATAACCACAGCACCCAAGAGATACTGAAAGGCCTCTGAGCACCATTTGGCCCAAGGGCCAGAGTCAGTCACTGTCTCCGCATTGCCTCAGTGGAGGAACAGCAGCCACAGCCACAGAAAATGCTGCTGCTGCTGCTACTAACCCTGTGGGTGTTCCCTAACTGCCCTGCCTTCCTGCTGCCACCTGGAGGTGTGGGGAGCGTTCTTGTGGCTTTAATCTCCATGCCCTTTTATGCTGGTCTCTGAGTACACAGCCTTCTACTTATCCAAATGAAGTGGACATAAGCTCCCAAAACTGCAGCCCGGAAATGGCAGGGTGGTGTGCAGTCCACAGGCCTTCCAGGTTCCAGTTTTCTCTTCTGTTTTTCTGTCACCTTCTCAGGTCATCGTTATTAAGTTGGGAGAAGAGGAGCTCAGGAGGCCCCACCTCTACCTAAACAACCCCATCACAGGCAGATTGCCAGGTAAGTGAGTCAGTCCATCCTGGGCATCTTACACATCACAGAGGTGGACCAGCGCAGCTCATCATGGGCATCTTAGACATCACAGAGGTGGACCAGCGCAGCTCAACATGGACATCTTAGACATCACAGAGGTGGACCAGCGCAGCTCAACATGGACATCTTAGACGTCACAGAGGTGGACCAGCACAGCTCAACATGGACATCTTAGACATCACGGAGGTGGACCAGTGCAGCTCATCACAGGTATCTTAGACATCACAGAGGTAGACCAGCGCAGCTCTCTGACTTGTGTTGACGTTTCATTCGCTTTTGCTGGAAGCCATCCAGAAACAAAAATTCATGGAAAACAAAAAGACTTTTATTTGTGGATTGGGAAAATCAGTCTACTCTCCTAACATAACAGGAGAGTAGATCACCTTTCCGAGGGAGGTCAGTGCACCCCTGTGCCCAACTGACATGGTCAGCAGCCCGAGGCTGGCTCCACAGACTTGTGTTTTGGGTAAGGACAGGTTTTTATGGGATGGCTGAATGGTTCCAAGTCTTTAATGCACAGTAGATCCCAAGGCTAGGCCAAAGACACTGCCCAAAGACTTGAAAAGCAGAGCTGGGGGCTAGCCTGGGATGACTATAAACATCATTTCAGGGGGTGCGACAGAAGACACTGAACTACCTTCCTTCCTGGTCCCCAAAGGTGAGTCACTTCCCCTCAACAAGGAAAAAGCAGATGTTTCACCATACCCTAATACCTCTGGTGAGGAACCACTGAAGTAGACGGCCGGCCTCGAGACCGGGGTACGGGCTGAGCTGTGTTCATCCGTAGTTTGCTGTAACTGCCTGTTCAGTGTTCCCTAAGGAACTGGTCCTGGGGGAGCCCAGAATGCAGCTGCCCTGCTCACCACTGTCTGGCAGGTACCGGGCTCTCGGTAGCTAGTTTCTGGATGTCTTGATGAGGAAATGAGTGAGGAGGAAGTGGGGGATGGTTCCATGATGAAGCTCTTCGCATTCAGACGTGAAAAATAAAGTTCAACCCCCAGGACCCACATGAAAAACAAGATGCCTTGGGCTTGTAATGCCCAGCCCAGTAGGGGTGACAGACAAAGGAAAATCCTTGTGGCTTACCAGCCAGCATAGACCAACAAGAGAGGTCCAGATCCCAGTGAGAGATCCTGTCTCAAGAAACAAGGTGAATGTTGCTTGAGGAATGACATTTGGGATTAACCTCTGTCCTACACAGAAACACACACACACACAGGCATGCACATACACACCCCACATGCACATTCAAGGAAAACAAAAAAGAAATGAATGAATGAATGAATGCCTCAGTGCTGTACTGCCCTCAGATCAAGTATGAACTACAAATCCCTGAGTAGTTTCCCTTGAGGGTTAGTTAGTATCCACATATACCAGTTTAATTGTCACAACTCTCTCTCTCTCTCTCTCTCTCTCTCTCTCTCTCTCTCTCTCTCTCTCTCTCTCTCTCTCTCTCTCTCTCTCTCGCTCCTCTCTCTCTCTCTCTCTCTCTCTCTCTCTCTCTCTCTCTCTCTCTCTCTCTCTCTCTCTCCCAGGTCAAATGAAGTGTTGCAGCCTTTTCTTAGGTGTGCAAGGCAGGGGGTGAGGGTGGGCATTGCATGACAAGAGAGAAGGATCCAAGACTGTGGTCAGCCCTACTCGTACTAACTCTAAGAGTAAAACGGTCCCTGTTGATAGACAAAGAGACTCTCTCGAGGCACTGGGAAGCCCCGGACTGTGGTGCCCCTCGCCTGTCGTGAAGAGCTCACACATCTCTGTTTACCCGAGCCCAGCCACCGCTGGTCACAGGAGATTAGAACAGGGCCTTGTGGAATAACATATAGTACCCACCAATAAGGACTTAGCGACAAAAAACAAAGAAAAGGAAGTGAGAAGTCTGTAATCCAAGTCCACTGAAGGGACTGAGAATCAGCCTTGTCTTGCCTCATGAAGGTCTTCAGAAGCTAATACGACTTTTATTCTTCTGCCTGAATTCAAATCTCGGAGCCTTTGTACCAGGACGCCTTCCTGCCCTGCCTTGAAATGGCGGGCCCAGGACTGTCCTCCCCACTACCCCACTGCAATTACTGGATAATTGCTTAGCGTTTTCTAAAGGTAATTAATCTTGCCTTTGAAATGAAAGAAATCCCTAAATTGAACAGCATCATGAAAGCCATTCTTTCATGTAATTTGGACTCCATCAGCCCGTACCAGCCATTAAGCACTCAGTTTCTGGCTCAAAAGCAGCGAGGAGAGTTAGCAGTGGAGATATTTTTAGATTAAGAAACAAAACAAAATCAAAACCTCAAGGGTCTGAATACTGTCCATCTCAATTTCTCCAGTGCAGAATGTGCTCCTGTCTGATTTCGAGAAGCCAACGGCTCTGTGTGAGCTGCCACAAGGTGACCTTGATGAAGGTCATTTGTGCACAGGGGCCATGTCAGGCCCAGGGATGTGCTAGGACTACTCACTGCTTGCTCACCGAAGCTTAGAATTCTGGTGGAAACTGGATGTTTCGTTGCACTTTTGAAAAAAAACAAAATCTGTTTCACCACGCAGATTGCTCAAAGCCTGCCACCTAATACCCATCAGCTCTAGCTTGTTTTGCTGCAGTCTTTCTGGTAAACGAGTGGTTCAGCAGGCTGAAATATCGCAGGGCTTCAGGTGCCGAAAACTCAGGCACAACTCTGCCCTCCTCTGCCTCCATGCAAGGGTGTGTGTGTGTGTGCACCCAATTGGCGTCACGCTGACGGATAGCAGCGTTTTCCTCATGCAAAGTGGAAGGTTCGCAAGGTGTGGACTAATTACGCCTGGCGTCTCATCCCAAGGGTCATGAAGCTCTGTACTAGCAAGCCACTTTGTGGTCTAGTTAGATGCTCTTTGTGGCTCTGCGGTGAGCTGGGAAGATGTTTACCGTGGGGCCTTCATCCCTCACTCAGTGGCTACAGTTCGCTTTGTAGGTGACCCAGCTACACTATACAAACCAGAGGAAGGCCTCCAGGACCTTTTAAAGGACAACACCCAGAGACCCCCAGAGATGCAGGCAGTGCAAACCATCTACAGAGAGACATTTGGGGAAAAAAAATGAAGACACTCGATCTGCTTGGTGCCCTCTAGGGGAGATTTACCACCAATGGCACACGGAGGAGGGCCTGTTGGATGTTAGCGTGGAGACAAACATCTTGTCAGCGATTTCCTCATTTCCTCCTATGGCTTGCCAGCAACCTTTCTACATTCTTTGTGTTGATTATTTTATATGACCACAGGATCTCTTTTCTCATGGAAACTTCATCACGAAAGCCTGGACTAAGGAGAAAAACAGAAACCACCACCAACAAAATGAAAGCCAGAGATGTTGGTTATGTCTATCACTGCTGCTTATTTTGATGCAAGCATTGAGGGCAGGGCTTCAGCCCTGCCCGAGCAGAGCTCTGAATCCATAAACACGTGACTAGAGGTGGCTTCACGGCATTCTGATGTGTGTGTGTGTGTGTGTGTGTGTGTGTCTGTGTGTATGTGTGTGTGTGTGTGTAATCTCTTACAGGAGGCTTCAGGTTTAAGAGTGTGGTGCTTAGAGTACAGTTTGATTCCCAGCCACGAATGCCTGTCTTTGGGTAGGCCACCCAGCCTCTGTGCAGAAGGGGTAAAATAAGGGCCTACTTCCCTCACAAAACTGTTGTAAGGTTAAGGAAACATGTCCATCACAACGTGCCACCCCATGTGTTACTTGAATGCTTCTAGAAACTCAGGACAGTAGAGAAGAAGTGTTTTTTTTGTTGTTGTTGTTTGTTTGTTTTGTTTTTTGAGACAGGGTTTCTCTGTAGCTTTGGAGGTTGTCCTGGAACTCACTCTGTAGACCAGGCTGGCCTCAAGAGAAGAAGTTAAGGACTCAAATTATGAAAGTGTTCAATCTTGTAGGGTGGCGGAAGCTGAAAATTAATGAGTCCTGGTTAACATTCCACTGTGCTTCTCTTTGCACGGACCAAACCACACAGAGAGGAGAAGGCACCTCCCCTCAAACAGATACTACGCGGTACGGCCAGGGACTAAGAGCTGGCACCAGACCCGTAGCCTTTTACCGTTACACTCTCTGTCAGTAACTGGCAGCCAACAGTATTTGGCAAGGCAGGTACATTTCAAGTGGACTTGCTGTTGCTTCCCCGAAGAGAAGTTTCCAGCTCAACAGCCCATGAGGTGAAGATCTGTTCCTGAGGACACTAACAAGCCAACTCCACTGGTCAGAGTTTCAGGGCACAGGAGAGATTCCTCACTTACAGTATGAGAAGGGACTGTTTTTCCATCTGTGGAATCTTCTAGTTGGTTAGTGTCTGTTGTCCAGCTTCTCCACCCCGCAAATGAAGCACTCCTTCAGGACTCAGAAAGTAAGCACAACTCACAAGGCTCAGGAAACTCCGGAAACATACAGGACTTACGAGTGCCCTCACGGGGTTATATGAGGGCTGGGAAGCACAGATTACCTCACCAGCCTGGGTGCTCACGAGTTGTGTGGAAAGTCCCTGCCGCTCAATGTAGCTTTTGTGAGTCACCAACTATGTTGGAGGAAAACTGCAGGCTATAGAGATGGCAGTCACCACTGCTCCTGCAGGTAGCTCCAACAAGCTTACTGGCTCACCAAGCCGCAACCAAGTGGAGTCATTTGTTTTGTCTCTTGTTGGGGTGGCCTATCTGGGGTGAAGTGACATTTACCTTGGGAAAAGCCATAAGGCTGTGTGTCAGTTACTTTCGCACTGTGTTGCTGAGACCGAAATCCCTCCCTCGCTGAAACAGTGTGAGGGAAAATTGTGTTTTGCTCCTGTTGCAGAGGATTTCAGTCTCCCGGGGGCACAAAGGGCATGGCGGAATGAATGGCTGGAGAAGCTCGAGGCAGAGGCTCTTCTTACTGGGGCCAGCCAGGAAGTAGGAAGTACTTCAGGAAACGGGCTGGGTGTAACCTTCAAAGGGCCACCATCAGGCAGTTAGACCCCACCTTCTCAAGGTTCCATAGCTTCCCTTCACCAGCTGGGGTGCAAGAGTTAGAAACAGGACCCTGTGAAGGGTCTTTCACATTCATTTGAAACATGACCATGTGAAGGATCTTTCACATTCAAATGCCGACGGCTGGGAAGAGGAGAGAAGGCTGAGAGGGAATTCCAAAATCATAGATGTCTGGAAGAGAAACCTGTATGTTCCCCCTGTGGTGAACTCTGCCCCATGCTGTGTGCTTACAACTAGAACATAAGACTTACAAGTCTACTCAAAGTTCCCCTGTCAGATACCAGATAACTTCGCCACTGTCTTGTTCTTCACAAGGACATGTGGGGAAATTGAATTTGCAGACATCTTCATCACCAAAGGACACACAATAAGTTTGTTTTGTGCGTGCGTGCGTGCGTGCGTGCGTGCGTGTGTGTGTGTGTGTGTGTGTGTGTGTGTGTGTGTGTGTGTGTAATAAAACGCATAACTTCTCCTAACATTCAGTATTATACCCTTTCAGGGACAGCGCAGAATTCCAGTTAAATAAATGCAATTTCCCTTGGGAGGAGAAAAGGCAGGGCTTTCACATGTGTGTCCATCAACTCCGTGGACAGTGGATATTCACTGCAGCCAGATATCACTGCATGTGAAGGGAAGGAAGTCCACAAAGCCATGGAATCTGAATCGCCAGGGAAGACAGTGGATTTAAATGCTTCCCCCACGTTAGTGTGTGCACTCAACTTTGTGAAGCCGGCAAATGTGGAAAAGGCAGACTTTCGAAAGACAACGGAGCACAGACTGGGGAGGGGGTGCTCAAAGGGAGAAAAGGAAATGGGAACATCTTCAAGTGTAGTAGGCAAAGGAGAATCCTACTAGGGGTGGATGTCACCTCCCACTGGCTTCTTTACCTGCTTCTGCTGATAAACAGGAGCTTCACCGCTCCCACTCAACACCGCCAGCCTCTGTCCCAGCTCAGGGTCTCCCTCCAAGCCTCACTCCTGAGTCTCCTCCAGGGTTTGCGCTTTGATCCCGCTTGGCTTTGCACTCTCTGAGCTGAAATTTAACCGCTGTCTCTTGAATTCAAAATCCGGGCTTTTTCCCCACTCTGTCTACCTCTGAGAACCCCTGAACACTCACGGTACCCTAACCACCTCCCAGGGAAATTGACTGCGTCTAGGTGTATTACTTGGCCAGCAGGTGTTAACATCAAAATTAGCCGAGGCTCTCCATTAGCGGGCAAGGGAAGGTAGCTTTTAGCTCTTCTAGGATCCAGCTCTTGGAACTGTGGGTCCCAGCTCTAGAGGAGGTTATATGTGGGGTTCATGGAAAAAATTCACGGTGATGAAAGTTAAACTACAGCCTCAGATATGTCGCAAATCTGAGGTGTTTCTGGCAGAGATGGCAGGTGTTGGGTCACGGGACTTCACGGCAGCCTCTGGTTCTAAACACAATATGCACACACACCTTGTGTTTTTTAAGCATGAATGCTAGGCAGTGCCAGCAGAACTGCCTGACACCATGGTTCCTAGCCGAGATGACTGGGAGCTGCCTGCAGAGTCTGCTGTGTGTGCAGAGACTTGGGGTCTTACAAAAGCACAACAGCCCCATTACAGGAAAATTAAGGGGTAACATTTCTCGGTTGTTCTGAGTATCAAATTAGTTTCTCCTTGGACCACATTGTGTTCAAATGTTGGACTTTGAAAATTGCCCTTTGGATTGTTGGTTTAACATAAAGAATGCTAAACGAATTTTGTCTTGATACTAAGACAAAAGTCCTAAAACTGTTTTAAAACTGGCCCTAAACATATGCCTCTCATTTGTCCTTTATAAAATACAAAACGTTGGAGTATTAACAATCATAGAAATTAAAAAAAAAAGAAATTCAGGCATCCAAATGAGAAATGTTGAGGATGGTCTGTTTCCTTCAATATCAAATATCCAGCCACAATTTAATTCTTTATGTAAAAATAAATATGCATGTCCATCTCGTTAACATGAAAATTTGATTTCATTTAATAAATGGTAAAATCTACCAGCATACTAACAAATTTTAAGGTAAATAGTTTTATGATTTATTATAAAAAATATTAGATATGCACTATGGGAGGATGTGTCACCGTTTTATCTTGCCTGCCTAAGGCACCTGATTGATTTAATAAAAAGCTGAATGGCCAACAGCTAGACAGGAGAGGTTAAGGGGGACTTCTGGGCAGAGAGAGAAACTCTGGGGAGATAAATCTAGGTGTTCGAGAGATGTAACACACAGAGGCAGTTGGACATGCAGGAGAGGTAAAAAAAAAAGCCACATGGCAGGTTAATTATAAGAGTTAGAACAAGTCTAAGCTAAAGGCCAAGCTTTCATAATTAATAAGTCTCTGTGTCATTATTTGGGGGCTGGTGGGCTAAGAAGGTCTGGAAAGTAAGACCTGCTGCAGGTATGTGCAGCCCACATACACAGGGTTGCATACAAATCTCTTGGATGGTTTGAAATGCAAAGAGTTTTCCAGAACATCAAAGTTGGTCTTTAGGAGGCCATATCCTTCTGTTGCTATAAGAGTCTTTGACCAAGTGAAGACAGAGCAGTCTGGTCTTCAGTTATCAATCAGCACTCCCATTTTAGAGAGGGGCAGCATCCGTCAACATGCCCTACCCAGGTTCAGCCAAGCAGACTGACCCGGAGAGGGAGATGTAGCTGGGAGACACAGGAACTCTCATGGGATTCCAGACTGCTTTAGGAAAGGAGCTAGTCACAGACCTCGTCTTCATATTGTGCATCTCTCCGGGATGTGCATCCTGGGGACACCGCCATTTTTCTGTCCCTTTCTATAATTTGGTTTAATTAGCCCACTTCCTTTGTTGGTCATTAAGTCTTCTGAGACAGGAGACTGGAAGCACAGAGAGGCCTGGGGGTTTAGGATTGTCAAAACCAGAAGTAGGAAGACAGTCAGGTGAACACGGATTGAAAGGGAAAAAGACCCCATCTCAGACACTGGATGCCCAAGGCAGGCCAGTCAGGAAGGGGAAGCTTGTGTCTGAGCTCTGTCCACAGTTTCACATTGCTTCCTTTCCCTGCAGCTCTGGATCATCAGATCTCACCTCAGAGATGTTTGCAAATGACACTGGTCCCCATGTCTGCCCTGGTTCTTACACTACACCCAGTTACGGTGGCATCTGGAGGCATTGTCCTTTTGTCCATTCTCATCTTTGAATTTGAGAGTTTTGCTTCCAGTTGTGGAGAGAGCCCCGATTTCTCCTTGGGAGGAAATGTCTTTGCTGGAGATGTCTGTGTCAGATTATCTTGTCTGTTAGCAGTAGAGCCCCGAGATAATGAGGACTATTTGACAGAGACCGACACTGATGAATGGTCTGCATTTTTGAACTCATTTCAAAGAACAAATTCCTATTTCCTTTCATTTTCTGGAGCACTGAGAAACTTATAGACAATTTAATTGACTGTGCTTGAGACAGGGAATTCCTAAAATGCTGGGTATAATATTTGGATTTAAAGAAAAAGATACTATAATAGAGGCCATTGTTCAAGAAAGCAGAGACAGGTTCATGTATTCCAAATCTTGGATAACATATAAAGAAGGTTATTGAGCCTGAATTTGAAAGAATTCTGTTGAAAGACAGAAAGCAATCCACCAGGGGAACATGAGAAAGAATTACAGTGTTTGATGGACAATTACTTGCTAAGACACATTTACTTTATATCACTTTTTAATGAGAGTAGACTATAAAACTGTTTAAAATTCCATTGGAAACACTTGGATTATAAAATAAAACATTTAGATGATGGAACACAAACGTGTTTACTCTTTTATCCTTCCACGTAGATTGGATTACTCATGGGGGACAGTGGAAAGAATCTAAGACATGCTGGTTTTTGCAGCAGAAGCCCGACTGCCTTTCAGAAACGTTACAGACTGTATAAACGGGCATGAGTTTTGGACAGGGCTAGCAGGAGCTGACATGAAGCTGGTGCAGAGGGAAGTGTAGGAATGAAAGGTCCCACAGACAGCAGAGGGAGCCTCCGGAAGACAGTGGCACACACAGCAGTCATCTCCGTGGAACAATGTGTCTGTCTGTCAAGCACAGGATGTCTTTATTTTGTTTTGTTAAATGCTCTGCTACCAGCAAATGTCCATTCATAACCTGTGTGATAATTTATGCCCCTACAACGTCAATCTGGGCCCTGGTTGCTCTCATTCCTGTAGCTGTTCCCAGCACCTGAGCCTGAATGCTGCCAAATGAAAACACACAGAGTGTATAGAACAAGACTCTAGTTTTCTTTATGCAAAAGTTACATCTGGTTATTCATCCTAACGGCAAAGCCATGCCCATCTTTCTCCTGGCGTAGCTGCTCCGGAATCAGAATTCGTGACGGCCTGTGGATGATTCTCAGGCAGCCAAGAACTGTTGTTGAGAATCCAACACTGACTCTGTCGCACAAGTTCTTAGCATAGGTCCATGTGCAGTCGCAGGTCACACCCTTCCCCAAATGCCCTGACTAACTTGCATAGGGTGACTTGGAAGTCATGGCACTTGTCGTGAGGTAGCCCAAAGGAGCCAGTCAGTAATGTTGTGCCTGTTGAACTTCTAATGCAGAATGCTCTTGGATGTCACGCCGGGTGCTTGCTCTTGCATAGGTGGGACAGCAACAACATGACCCTTACACTGGCAGCACCTGCCTCCTTAGTCTGCAGTGACATCCTCTTCTTCGGTGGTGTATTAGTTACACTATTGACACTATTGTTGCTATAATGAAATAGCTTGAGAAAAGCAACGGTAAGGAAAGGTTTATTTTTGGCTCAAGGTTCCAGGGTGCAGCCTGTCCTGGAGCGCAAGGCAGCTGGTTACATTGTGTCCAGGGCCAGGAAACAGAGATGAATACTGATACTTTGTTTAGTCAAGAACTGGTGGTG